TTTCAATTTGTATTTCATTTAATTTAATTAAATTTTTTATTTTCAGTTTTCCACTATCCTGCTAATAAAAGTGTTAGAACCCCACAAAAACAAATGCATTTGATATGTATTAGTGTTGGCGCTCATGTAGGCCGCCGGCTCTTCATTGTGCTCCTCTGAGGTGTCTGTTCACCTCAGAGAAATCCTTCAGATCTCATCACACTCTCTTATGTAATGAGCTGTTGAGGGTAAAGACTCGGGTGGTCCAGGAATTGAACAGACAGGAGGGTACAAGAGGGTCTCGCTTCAAAAGAATTGATGAAAGTTACCCGCTGGTTTGTCTGTGCTTGGCTTAAAAAGGGGTTTTGGTTTATATATTCGTTCTCAGTCCTTGTGTTGATGTTGAATGTGAGCGACAGGGGTGAAGGATGAATACCGTATGCCCTGCTCTGGGCGATGTTTCCAAGAATGAAGCGGTTTTCAGACTGGAGCGGGATGTTGTTTTTCGCTGGTTTTGCAGATGGAAACCGTATGGCTATGAAAGCTCTTCATGTGTCTATTAATGGAGCGCAGGTCTCGGCTTCTGCTCATCCAGACGTGTTGAAAGGTCCTCCTCCGTCTCTTTAATGTGCTGTTTTGTTTTGTCTCAGGTCCATACCAAGTTCCACTGCCGTCAGGCTCACGCCGCCGGATCCGACACGTCCGGCCTCACTTTCTCCTACGACGGAGTAACTCTAGCATCACGAGGAGGTTAGACCCGCCGTTCTTTTCTGTCTGTGTTACGACTGGGTGGTGTATATCTGACAGTAAAAAAAACTAACAGACATCACAGCAGCTGTTATGAGGTTATTTGTAAATTAAATATTAAAAATATCTTTAAAATATATATTTAAGATAAATATATATATATCATGTTTAAAAAGAAAATTAGATAAATTAAAATATAAGAATAAGTATGTTTTACGTTTTACATATGATTTTTTAACTTTCCAGCAAAACTGCCTATATGGTGAAATGTACTGTTAGTTTGATATAAAATTATTCATACCGTGATATATGATTTTATTCATACCGCCCACCGCTATTCTGCACTGACCTTGACAGCTGAATTTGTGGGTTTTAAATGCTAAAATATATTGAATATGTGTTAGTATGCTCGACGTGAGCACAAAGCGGACTTGTGTCCAGATAAAGCCAGTCTTGTGTTTTGTGTGGAAGTGACCCGAGTGTGACTCAGCTGCAGGGAATCACACTTTGAGAAGCGTTAGTCAGCACGCATGTGGAGATCCCCGAGCGTCACGTCACGCCTGATGTTCTCTGACTCACGCCGACAGACAATGACGCCGATTCAGCCGCTCGCTCGCCTTCAGCAGCTCCGTCTGACATCAGGGCTTTGATTCGGTCCACACATCGTAGTTTCTCATAACTCTTTACCTTTTCTGACCCTCTTCAGCTCTTAAAGTGTCTGTAATGAGCTGAGGAGTTGAATCAGGTGTGTTACATTGCACATTGCATGATTGTAGTTTCATTTTTAACCTATTAAAGCAATTCACAGCCCTGATATATATATATATATACATATATATATATATATAAAGATAGAAAGATAGATAGATGGATAATGTTTAAATATGTGTTAGTATGCTCGACGTGAGCACAAAGCGGACTTGTGTCCAGATAAAGCCAGTCTTGTGTTTTGTGTGGAAGTGACCCGAGTGTGACTCAGCTGCAGGGAATCACACTTTGAGAAGCGTTAGTCAGCACGCATGTGGAGATCCCCGAGCGTCACGTCACGCCTGATGTTCTCTGACTCACGCCGACAGACAATGACGCCGATTCAGCCGCTCGCTCGCCTTCAGCAGCTCCGTCTGACATCAGGGCTTTGATTCGGTCTGAGCTTGTTTTGTCTCTGTGTGTTTTCAGGAGACGACACTCTGAAGACGTGGGACATGCGCAACTTCAGGAAACCTCTCGCTGCTGTTACTGGCTTGACCTCCTTCTTTCCCATGTAAATGGAAACTTCCATAAACGCGCGCAACTTTTACACTCTTAACACTTCTGCAAATAATGTTAAGAAAATTCATTAACAGATTGGACACAATGATCAGTCTGAAGTTGAACAATCTCAGTGTCATATGTGACCTTGAACCACAAAACCAGTCTTAAGTGTCAATTTTTCAAAATTGACATTTGTACATAATCTGAAAGCTGAATAAATAATCTTTCCATAGATGTATGGTTTGTTAGGATCGGACAAAATCTGGCTGAGATACAACTATTTGAAAATCTGGAATCTGAGGGTGCAAAAAAATCTAAATATTGAGAAAATCATCTTTAAAGTTGTTCAAATGAAGTTCTTAGCAATGCATATTACTAATCAAAAATTAAGTTTTGATATATTTACAGTAGGAAATTTACAAAATATCTTCATGGAACATGATCTTTACTTAATATCCAAATGATTTTTGGCATAAAAGA